AGGTTGGGGACAGGAGAGGAAAGCCTCCGAGGGTCCCAGAGTGTTGGCAACACAGCCCTTTGCAGCCAGCAGAGAATCTCCCCGAGAGGGCAACCTTTGCCTTGTGGGGGCGGAGCAGGAGAGGTGGAGAAGAGCTGCTCTCTTATCCCTCCCCTGCAGTTGAGTGGGTAGAGTGGGCTGCTCGTGAGTGGGACTGATCCTTCTGTCCCCCTCCAATGGGGTCTTTCCCCCCATGACCTACCTAGATGGAGCCGGTGCTGCTGCCCCCAAGGAGATGGGACCCCGGCCCCGTACACCCCTCCACTACCTCTCACCGTCTGTCAGTGGAGGATGACTTCCAGTTCATCCTTTGCGAGGGCTGCAGGCAGGAATCACCCAACCTCAAGCTCCTCTCTTGCCTCCACACCTTGTGCCTCGATTGCTTGAGCGAGAAGAAGCCCATCGGGCAGTGCCCCGTGTGCCGGACACCCATCCCACAGGCCAACGGTGTCGCAGACATGGACAACCTGCTCTTCACCAACCTGCAGGCCAGGCTCAAGGTCTACAAGAAGATCAGAGACAGCGATGGCCCGAGTTGCAGCCGATGCCACAGGGAAGCGGCAGCAGTGTGGTGCTCTGAGTGTGAGGAGTTTCTCTGCACCAAGTGCTTTGAGGACCACCAATGGTTCTTCAAGAAGATGAGCCATGAAGCCAGGAAGGTGGAGGAGCTTCGTGCCGAGTCAGCCCGTCATTTCCTGGAAGACACCAGAAAGCCCTGCAACCTCTTTTGCTCCCAACCTGGTCATACTGACCAGCTCTGCAGGTGAGACGAGTGCCTTGCCCCTGAATCCCATCCTGCACCATGAGCTCTGAGGCTGCTCTTCCAGGAAAAGATCTGTCAGGAGGGCAAGGAAGTTTATCAGAGGTCTGTCAGAGCCAAAGGGGTTTCATTGCGTGCCTTTGGAGAGAGGCTACTGCAACCCCAGGCAGGAGCAGGGTGCGATATGGGGCTGGCAAGTCCCTGGGAGGAGGGAGGGGAGCAACGATAGGTTGAGCACCCAGGTTCTTCCCCACATCTGCATGTGGTGTTGTGAGACAAAACCCTTTCCTGCCCTGTGCCTCAGTTTCCCCTCTTATTAAACTCCTCAGCTGTCCCTTGGGGAAGGTAGAAATCGTGCCCAGCACAGTGGAAATGCTTTTCTACACCCCCCC